TTGGGCCAATGGGGCCGAATTGTCACAGGTGAATACCGTGGAGAGGGCCGCCACCTGCCTGCGGATAGTGTTGGGCGCTAAGCCCTTGTCCACGCCCTCCAACAAATAGTCCAAGAGGCGTGGAATTGTCACCTTTGAGAGGGCCAAGTGATTCCCTTCGCACCAGTGGCAAAAATGTTTCCACGTGGCGTCGTGAATAGGGTTTGTCGCCGGCCGCTGGGAGGCTTGAATCATTGAAATCACCCCTGATGAATAGGAACCCTGTGCTAAGAACCGGCATTCAGATGCCAGGCGGCTAACTGGAGCCACTGTGGATCTGGATGTCGTATGGCTCCCTGTAAGAGAATTATCCGACCTGGAGAAATCTTCCACGGAGGAACTACAGAGAGGCCCACGAGGTCCACAAACCACAGCCGCCTCGGCCAGTGTGGAGCAACAAATATCACCTCTGCCCGCTCCTGCAGAATTTTCCTGATGACTGCCGGAATCAGGGGGAGAGGGGGAAAGGCGTACAGCAGTCCCCCTGGCCATGGGCTGCGAAGAGCGTCCACTCCCTCCGTCCCAGGAGAGGGGAACCGAGAGAACCGTGGAAGCTGGGAGTTCGCCGGAGATGCAAACAGGTCCAGAGTAGATTGACCAAACCTCTGCGAGATCTCCCTGAAGAGATCTGGATGCAGACGCCATTCCGAATGGTCCACTGTCGAGCGGCTCAGGTAGTCCGCCTGTTGATCTCCCGAAATATGTTTGGCCTTCAGGGAGAGGAGATTCTGCTCTGCCCAGGATCCCAACTGAGCCTCGGTCATGAGAGACTGAGATCGGGTGCCGCCTTGTTGGTTTACGTGTGCTTTTGCCGCAACATTGTCCGTGAGGACCAAGACATGGTGTCCCGTCACCTTGTCGCAGAAGTGGCAGAGGGCCAGATGAATAGCTTTGAGCTCCAACCAGTTGATGTTGTGCTTCAGGTCCAGCCGGGACCACCAGCCCTGAGCTAACTGAGATTGGAGATGCGCTCCCCAGCCAAACAGACTGGCATCTGTGGTCAGAGTGAGATGGACAGGTTCCTTGAATAGAGACCCTTTGGCTAATGCTGGGGAGGTCCACCACTGAAGGGATCTGAGGATCTGGGATGGAACCCGTACCCTTTGGGTGGAAGAGCTGGTGCCCATCCTTTGAAATGGGAGCAAGAACCATTGAAGACCCCTGGCATGTAGTCTGGCCCAAGGAACTATAGCAATGCAAGATATCATCTTTCCCAATAATTGAGAGAGCAGAGCCAGAGACACTACTCACTCCCTGCGGACCTTGAGGACCATGGTTCGAATGCTGACCTGACGCTCCCTGGACAGATATACCTGGCAAAGGTTTGTGTCTATTATCGCGCCCAAGTGCAACAGGCGGTTGGAATCAGGTGACTTTTTTTGGAAATTGACCAGAAACCCGTGGTTCTGTAGCGTCTCTACGGTTAAGTCCAAGTCCGCTTGGGAGGAGAGGACTGAATTAGAATGTCGTCCAGGTAGCACTGAACGCGGATCGGTACTGATCTGAGATGCGCGGCTAGGACCGCTAGGACCTTTGTGAAGACCCTGGGAGCCGATGAGAGGCCGAACAGTAGAGCCTTGTACTGATAGTGGTTGTTGGAATAACAGAACCTGAGAAATTGTCGGTAACTCGGATGTATGAATTCCTGAGCCAAAATAATCAACGTGCGGCGACATTGGAGGCTATGGCACGGGCCGAGAATCTGGCCGCTTGAAGAGACACGTCTGCCATATATTCCAAGGCCACCCTTAATTTAGTTACGTCCTGATGGACCCTTACCTCCTCCAGGGAAATTCTAGCCTGGAGTTCACGAAGCCAGATCAGACAGATCCTGGCGAAGAATGAGGTTGAGGTGGACGCCCGTATTGCCCAAGCCGACGCCTGGTGTGTCCTGTGGAGGGAAACCTCGGATTTTTTATCCTCGGCTTTCAATGCCTCTGCCATGTCCCCTGGTATCTTGGAATCAGAAAACAAGGAAGTTAAGGATTCATCCACTCCAGGCACGTCCAGCACCTCATTCAGGGTCGATACCGTATCTATCAGTTCACGGTCGATCCCGCTGAGGGTGGAGAAGGGTGCCTGGCGATCCCCATTGTCCCTGTACAGATTTCAAGAACATCGGGGGACAAGGGATCTGTTGGTGCTTGACGACCGGCTCGGAAAACAGCGGGCTGGTGTCCTGGGTAGACACCTGCTCAGGAGCCAGGGGCTGCTCCGGTCCGATCTTACCGGTTGCGCAGGCCTTGAGGAGAGATGGGAAGAACATAGGATTGAACAAACCTATAAGGGGAGGAATCTCGGAGGAAGTGTCCTCATCGTCCGACCACTGACCTTCCGCGTGTCCATACTCCGCGTAATCAGAGATCTCGCTCCCACTTGAGCGTGGGGGCGAGCGCGAGTGTGAGTAATGACGATCGCCGGATCGTGAGAGATCCGGAGATGTCAGGGAGGCCAATGGAGCTTGGGATGCCTGTGGACGCGCTGTGGACACCATTGCTTGTGCGACCGCCTGGGAAATCATGGCCTGTAGTTGGTCAGTAAAGGATGGTTGCTCTACTGGCCGGAGCCCCGCTGCAGTGGGTGTAAACGTCGCCGTCGGGGCCTGTAGTTGGCCCATTAGGGACGGCATCTCTGGAGGCCCGAGCAGCGCAGCGGGCGGCTCAAAGGTGGCCTCTGGAGCCAGATTGGGTTGACGAGATCCCGTGTCCTCTTGGAAGAGGAAAAGGTGGTCCTGATCAAAAGTACGTGAGGAACCCTGGGCAGCATTCCGTTCTGGAGACCATGTAGGAACGGAGGACACGATGTGTAAGCCATCCAATGTCGGTGCAAGGGAGGGCGGGGGTGAGCTGACCATCTCCGCTGCCGCCAATTTTTGAGCTCGTGAAAATTGCCTCTCCAAGGCACGATGTCTACGGCCAGCCTGCTTTTCGGCCGCCTTGGAGGCTCTCTTGTCTAGACTGGCCTTGGTTTTGGCCTTTATTTTTGCAGCTGCTGTCCGATTGGATGACTTACGCTTTGTGTGTCCACCAGAGGTGGAAGCCTGTGGCTCAGTGTTATCCGCCATAATAATTCGGGAGTTTTCAGCAGGATGCTAAAGCGTCCCGGTCTGCAAGAGATGCGGCTACGGCACACTGTGGTGGGACTGGCCTACACGTGGATCTGTGAAGTCCAGGCCCACCGGCAAGCTCGGAGTCACACTTAGCGACGGATGTCACACTTAGCGACGAGTGTCACACCTAGTGACAGATGTCACGCGTCACTAATAGCGATGACCAGAGCGGTGAGGGGCTATAGTCAAGGCTAAGTTCTTTTAGTGACGGGATCCTACGTGCCTCCAACAGTATCAGCCGTTCCACTAGATGCAGACTGTGGCAAACAGGCTATATTAGGAGAGGCCCAATGAGCAATAAGTATCGATTGAGAAGGTAATATGTTTGGTAATTCTAATGGATTCGAGGCCCTGCCTAAATATGCGCAGAATGTGGCAAGCAGTGTCCTTACTCTTGCTTGGAGAAATGGAAAGGGATTATCTGGCCTGGTATTCCGTCCGGAGTCCTGGCTAGCTATGACACAGTCTAAAATGGCGGCTGCTTTGAAAAGATATCTCAACGACCAAGGCACATGGACTGTGTCTAAAGGGAGTTCCTCGCAATGAGGCTTGAGAAGAGGCTATCCGCTCTTCCTGAGGCCTCCGGTAGAGATCGCAAGGGAAAAAAGATTGCAACTGCGGATGCTTCTAAGGCCCCTGATGCATCCGTTGGCCACGTGGTGCTCCAAAATGGTGGCCGTGGCGGCCACAGATCAATCCTGGGAACAAGGGCTGGCAATCTCACAAGGGGAAGCCTCCTTCACCTCCCGGTCAGAGAGAAACGGCCGAATTGGGACAAAGCCGATCGCTGCGCAGCGCTCAAAACGGCAGCCGCGACAATCAGCTGAGCTGGGACTGCTGAAATAGCTCAGAACTTTCGCAGCCTGCTATTTTGGGATCGTATTAGCCGATCTGGAGCAGCGCTGATCCCAGCGCTGACCAGATGGCTGGGGAATGGAAGAATCCACAAAAGGAGTAAAAGTGTGTACAACCTGCCTTCAAAAGTTTTGATCTGGGAGCCAAGTTGCACGTCCGTCTGGGCTGAGACCAAATCGAAACTGGGGCAGGACCCAGCCCAGCGGGGGCGTGGCAACTTGACTGATTTGGTCTAATTAGGGCTGGAGGACACACTTAACCCATTCGTGGATTCTCCATTCTTACATGCTGGAGAATGCTCCATTTAATGCCAGGAGCAGAAGCCAGATGACAGTAGAACCGCGAGTAACATACAACAGTAAGCATTGAAAAATAGGAAAGGGAGCTGAAGCTAGTCATCACAGGTAGTTCCTCCATGGATCATGGCAGTAAACAACACTTGGTTGTACAAAACAAGGTATCAATCATCCAAACCTTGCCCATCTTCATGCCAATGTTCAACAGCAACAATGTTAGGAACAAAAATATTAAATCGGAATCTGATGCTACAACCATTTATGCAACGCTTTTTCATGCAAGTTTTCATACTTCAGAAGTTGACAATGACTTCTTAATAGAGATGCAAACCTTTTTAGCTCCTCAAGTCAAGTATAACTGACACGTCTTTTTTAAGGGTCCCTCCTAACACTGACCTTGTCATGAATACTGGTTTTCTCCTGGGAAAAAAAAAGCAAGGGGCATCTAGATGGTCAGCTCCTATCAGGATATTTCAGAGGACTGTAAAAATGGAGGTACCATCCAGACATTCTGCAAAAATATATGAAGGCAGCGAGACTACAAATAAAAGCCTTTGTATGAAAACACAGATGTGGGCTGGAAGATTCCGTTTTTCTTAAAACCCAAGGCTGTTGAAGACTGATCTTTTCAGCCATTTCTTTGTATACCCTTTACAGGTTGCTTTGAATTTCACAATGCAGGAAAAAAATGTAATAAAAATAAAACCATCCAAGTAAAAGGAAGTAGGAGATGAGTTTTTGCCATTTCATCCTCATTCATCTGAGAAATGTGAATAGTGTTTGTGATTTATAAAAAAAGTCCTATGTACACAGCAAAAAAATGTGATTTCATTTCCTGTTGTCCATAATCCTGCCTTGGTGCCTTTAAGAGAGTCTCTCTGTCTCTGTCTACTCAACTACCAAATACAAATCTGTTCAAGTTTCCAAAACTGAAGCAGGATGAAGATGAGACTTCAGATAAGGACACTGGAGACAGGAACTTTTGTTAATCGCCCATGCTGAGGAACAACAATGCGGTCCTCCCCTTCCAAAGACTCTTGCAGCTGACCTGCAGTGAGGAAAGAAGCACGTTAAGGTCTGCCTTCAAAGGGGCTGGCCTTGTCCAAAGAGGACAAGATTTTGAAAAGAGTATGTCTGAGCTCTCTTTCCTAATTTTCAGTGCTGTTTTCTTAGTGATAGTGTCTTAGTTGTACTTCCCTTATTTCCTTCACAATTACATGTTGGCATATACAGGTAGTCCTCGACTTATAACCATTCAGTCAACTGTTCAAACCTTACAAAGGCACTAAAAAAAGAGACTTATGACTGGTCCTCACACTTACAAGGATGATGCTGAGGATCTCACACTGGTCCTCAGCATCATCACATGATCAAAATTCAGGCACTTGGCATTTACAACAGTTGGAAGGTCCCAGGGTGCCATACACTAAATAAAATAAATAAGGGTCCCAAGGGTCATGTGATCACTATTTGTGACCTTCCCATCCCGCTTCTGACAAACAAAGTCAATGGGGAAGCCAGATTTGCTTAATGACCCTATGATTCAATTAACAACTGAAATGATTCACTTAACCACAAGAAAAAATTGTGGTAAAATTGAATATGATTCACTTAACCACCTTGCTTAGCAAAGAAAATTCTAGTCCCAATTCTGGTCATAAGTCAAGAACTATCTGTACAGCAATTCTGAGTACGCTGGCATTACTCTTGCTCTGGGACTACTGCTTCAATGGTTGCAAGTAGAAGCAATTGAGGCGAATTATCTTCTCCCTTCTTTCTTTCAATATTTTAAAGAAAAAAAGGAAAGAAACAAAAAAGAGAAAGAAGGGGGGAAAAGGGACGAAAAAGGACAAAGTATAAAATAGGGAAGTAAGCTTCAAGTCAGTGCTGAAAAAGAGAAAGAACTTATTCGTGTGATTCAGTGCTTTAAAGATTTTGAGGAAAACTTGGTTTAGGAGCATCCGGGAAACATCTGAGGTCAAGAATGCTTCCAGTAACAGTTCAATGCCAGTGACTATCTCCTGAGGAACCCACATTAAAAATGTTCTCACTCAACATTTCAGGATAGATGATTCATTTTTGCACTTCTAGCACTGCCTCCTTTATGTGTAGTAGAAGACAATAAAGCCAAAGGGTGTACACCTCTGTTCTGCTAGCAGCATGTGTTTTTTTTGTAACACAGCTCTGAATTCAGACACATTGTGACTTCTTGAGGCATTAATTCCAACTCTGTGGAGCTGGCAGAGGAAAAAAAGTTTTACCTTGTGCATACAGCTCTGTCCGTTTACGATCTGCCTGAATGAAACAAGCTGTAGCTAGGAAGAAACCTCCACCGATAACGCCCACAAAGCTGCAGACCATAAGTGCATATTCCAGGCTTCGGAACTGTGACAGCAATGAAACGGGGCGATCGCTCTGGATTCGGTCACTAATCTATGAAAAAAAATAAACAATAATCATGCAATCTACTAGGTAAAAAGGAAAGCCTTCAGAACTGGATACTGTTATTTATTGCTTTCTTGCTATTTCATCCCACCTGAAATAAATAGCAAAACAGGCACACACCATGGTTTATTTTTCTTTTGCAACAGAAAATGTGACATTGGTTTTTCATGAAATTCAGCTACTGAATCTGAACAATAGCAGCCCATTGCATGCAGAACAGAAGTTAACATGAATTTGGAACAGTAGTTCCCCACAAGCTTTCAATTAACTCTCACATGTTGAGGAAAAGAAACATTGTTAGATATCTCTAAACAAAAATGAGTATGGAATCTACACTGTCTCAAGAACAAAACCAATGCTCTTTTTGAAGAAAAAAAAAAAAAAGGTGCCGGAAATCCGTTCTGGGCATTCTATGACAAAAAAAGCCCTGAACAAAACCATAGTTTTAAAGCAGTGCCGTGCTTTAATCATATCTATTAATTCCTGTTCCAAAGCTCAGCATCTGCAGAGATCTTACAGTCTTAGGGAAATTACAATGCAAAAGGCTGTGCTGGAACATTTTAGTTTGAAAAAAGAATTACAAGGAGAACCTGGAATCCAGGCAGCTCCAAGAGGTTTTGTGAACTGCTTTGATCTGGTTCTAATTGGGTGGAAGAACAGAAAAAAAAGAGAAGTTGCTTAGGAGGTGGAACAGATGGCAGGAACATCAGCTCTACAACTCCAGAATATGACAGCCTAAGCCTTATATTCCAAATGCTTACCAAACCAATAAGATAAGGGCTCCCTGCATCACCCAGAAGATGGGACAACAGAATCTGAAAAGCTTCAGCTGTGGAACGGCGAGTAGGGATGACAACATACTGCAAAGAGAAAAGGGGATCTTTCATTTGATACCCTTTGTCAAGAAATATCAAGTGACTGCAGGATAAGGCTACAATTCTTTATATCTTTTTTTCCATTTTATTGTTCTAAGCTACCCAAAGTAGCTCCATGGTGAGATGGGCAGCAAATACATTTAATAAATAAATAGATAAATAAATAAACAAACAAACAAACAAATAAATGAGGAGCAGGGAGTTCGATTCTACAGGCTTGGAGCCACAAAGCCCCGCTACTTCTTGTCAGAAAGGGGAAAAGCCAGGAAAGGTGGCTAGATGGGATTGGCGCTGCTGCTCTGAAGGTATGAGGCAATTAAACAAACACAGATACAGTGAGGAACCTATCTGCAACATTATCTAGGGAAAAGGGAAAAATATCAGACATTGATCACATGAGCTAACAAAGGTCGTGTAGGGTAAAACAGTTACTACCCTAGTGATATAATTCTCCTGCTAATTGTTTCTCTATTTCTACTTAAAAGGCCTGCATTCCTGCTATTAATTTCCAAGTCTCAGACCCTATTTGTTGAGCCAATGTTCATGTTTTCCCTTCCCAGATCTCACCAGAAGGATGTCTGCCACTATGGCCCAGTTGAGGGAAAGGAGGGTTTCACCATTAAAAATAAATACCTACAAGGAAGAATGAAGAAAAATCATTTCATTATATCTTAAAAAGCTATACTATTTTTCATGTAGTGCCATACATAGAAATACCCTTTCCCATGCCAATAAATATACTAAAATCAAGGAGAAACTTGAGAAACTCACATAAGTGGCAACAATGCTCTGCTGAGCAAAGACGACAGCCAGAAACAGAAAGGGGGCAGAGCCAAGCAGTCCAATGGCACACACCAGGGGATCAGCACGGGGATTGGTGCGCTGCCAGCGTCTTGAAATCTCCACTCCAGCAGTAACACCCAGGACACCAGTCACACAAGTGATAATACCAAAGATGAGGCTGCAGAGATAATTACATACGGCCTGGTGAGGCTCTTCAGAAATGGTCCAAAACGAGTAAACAATCAGCGTGTTGGAATCTTTTCAAGAGCCATACAAAGTATTTAGAAGAGCTCAGAAATGAGTTGTCATAATGTTCCTCAAAAAAGAGACCAAGAAAATAAAATAAACCAGAAATCAAGACACAAGACAGTTCCCAGTGTTAACTCACCTGTCAGAGTTTCCATGACAAACCTTACCACTAGGGCAAGGTGGGAGATTTCCGGCGGCCAACCGTGAGCGGTACAGGAATGCAGGTGCCCACAATGCTAGAGAGCCTGTTACAAATGCCACAGCTGTGAATCCTAGTGATGACAACACAAAGCTACGGCTGCCAGTCAGGGGACAGAAAGAAACAAAGTAGTAATGTCAGCATGTATTATAGCTTTCTAGATTGCCAGAAGCCAGCGATAACAGATCTGAGCCATCAGAGATCTGTCATCAAAACAGAATACCTCCATGTGTTCCTAAGTAATGATTTACAACTGAGTCAAAAGTTGTCCAAAAAATGACTATAGACATAATCTGTATACATATTAGAGGTCATCTATGGTACTTTTCTGATGGTATATGTCTTAGACCAGTGTTTCCCAAACTTTTTCCTTCATTACCCAATACCACTTAGAACGGGGGTCCTTTTATGACTTGTGGACTTCAATTCCCAGAATTCCTCAGCCAGGCATGCTGGCTGAGGAATTCTGGGAGTTGAAGTCCACAAGTCATAAAAGGGCCAAGTTTGAAGACCCCTGACTTAGAAAGTCTTATTGAAATTCAAGGACCAGTTTTAAGTCCCTTCAGCACCACTGTAATTTGAAATGGTTGCTGAATGAATAGTGGAGGACTATCTGTAATGTAAAATCTTTATCAATAGAAGACAACATATGTAGCTCAGGGTTGGATTGTGGAGTGCCTGGTGTTCTTTGAGCTTGGTTGTTCCCTTGCAGACATTTCATTACCCAAGTAGGTAACATCAGTGCAGCAGGACTCCAGAAAAACAGTATCACTGAATGATCTTTATGTTATTTCAACAAAGTATCACTGGTAATTTAATCAATTTTCATCTCAATAGGAATACTTTGGGAGATTTTCCAAATATAGTTTAATAAACATGGGACTTCCGGTGGCTTGGTGACGGCCGATGGAGGCTTTTTGACAGCCTCCCGTCCGGGGCTGCGTTAAAGCTGCCGAAACAGCATCTATCAGCTGTTTGGCGGCTTGAGCTTTCTCTCCGGGAGAAGGTGAGCTTTACTCTGAGTAGGAGTAGAGTTCCCTAGTCTCCCTAGGAGCTTCCAGGGAGACGTAGGTGAGAACTCCTCCGGAGCTCAGAGCTTCCTCCGCAGACCGGGATGTCTTCGTCTTTGCAGCGAAGCCAGACGTCGTCTCCACCTCTGAAACTTTGAAAAATTTTTTACTGTGAGTAAATCAACAGACAGAGCTGACCAGGAATTTGGACTTGTTTGGGAAAAAATATAACTTTAACTCAGAAAGAATAAGGTTTCTTCTCAAGTGTTACAATTGAAAGTTAACTTTGGGGAAAAAAAAGAAAATGGCTGCGGGCAAGCCGCTTCTTTGTTTCAAAGGGAAACTTTCACTTCTCTTCCGGTTGTGGATTGCTACATTGTAAAGACTGTAAAGACTTTGGAAAAAAAAAAGAAAAAATTCAAGAAAAATTTGTTTAAATACTTATTGTTCTGGATTGACTATTAAGACTCTTTTAAAATTAAGAATGGCTTCTAAACGTACTGGAACTTCTGCTGTACCTAAAGCAGCTACTCCTTCTCCAGCTGAACAATCTACACAGCAGAAAGCTAAAACTCTCCCACCCTCCCCTCCTCCTTACATTACTCTTAAAGATTTACAGGACTCTCTGGTACAAATATCTAAACAAATAGTATCAACAGATGAGAGTTGAAACAGAAGAACTTCTTGGCAAGAAAAATGATGAATTGTGTGAAAACATGTCCCAAATTTTCCAAGGTTTTGCGTTTCATGTGGATCGTATAGAGGGACATGTGGATGAAGTGGTGGAGAAAATGGAGGGTATGGAGGAGAGATTAGAGAAAATAGAAGGTGTGGAGATTGTTCAAAATGATATTGTAATGTCACAATATAGAGAAATGGAGCATGCCATAAGGATTAGAGGCCTTAAGGAGAATTTACAAGAGAAACTGAGGGAGGAGGTAGCAGCTGCCCTAGCCCTGGTTTTTGACTCCGATCCTGAAATTATATATGGAGAAATCGAAAAAGCATATAGAGTAAATTCATGGGTGGCACGTCAGAGAAATTTGCCTAGAGATGTTGTTGTTTATTTCTCCAGAAAAACACGTCGAAATGATATTATACAAGCTTTTTATCAGCAGAGATTCCAGATTGCTGCTCAAGATGTTAAATGAATTTGATGTTGTACTGTATAACAGCAGCAAGGACACTGATTGCTCAAAATTGGAAAAAGGAGATATTACCAACTATGGATGATTGGAGACAGAAAGTTTCATATTTTGCAGAAATGGCAAAAATATCCGCATACCTGAAGGATCAGTATTAGGAGAAATTTATTTTGGTATGGAGAAGATGGATAGATTATATTCAGAGAAAATATGAAATGAACAATTATCATATAGCTTTTGATTAATTATTGTTACTTATAAATATTTTTATATATAATTTATATATATAGTTTATAGTTAAGTTGATTGTATATTAGAGTTACAGTAAGTTTATACTTGTTTATATTATGAATGGNACTGCACTCGATGAGGTGGTTAAGAAGGGAGATGGGAGGTAGGTAGGTGGAAAGGAGGAAGGAGGAGAGGTTGTGGGTCTAGGGGGAGGAAGGAGAGGAAAGTGAATGAGGGTGGAGGCAAGGCGGGGACTGCCGAGCGTTTCCGAAAATGTATTGACTAGGATTATCTTTTTTGCTTGTGTATGTAAATGCATCATATTGGTATTCGTTGTTCAACTACAAAAATTAATAAAAATTTTATTAAAAAAAAACATGGCAATTTTAAGTCAATTTAAATGTCCCTGTTGTGATGGGTAATTGATTCATTTGTCCTTACCTAAATAGAAATCAATTTTACCCAATTTTGGGTAATTTACCCAGGTTTGGAAAGCACTATCTTAGGCCATGAGTAATCAACTGGCTATGTGAGTAGCACAAGGCTGAGAAGCAGTATCTAACTGCAAAGGACTTATAAGCGAACATTTCTGACACTGGCATCCCTGTCTCTCTCTCTCCTGCAATGCTACCTATACAAATTCATTAGATCAGAGACAAACAAACCCCCACCTCCATCAAAGTGCTACATTAGGCTATTTAAAAGAATGCTATGAACCCAGATGCTTCCTGCTATACCAGGGCTTTTTAGTCAGTTTATTAAGTTTAGTCAGTTATTGAATAAATCTCAAACTGCTAAGCCAAAATATGGCTTGTTTTAGGGACCCAGTCAATTGTGCTTTATTTACATATCATGGTTAAACAAAAAATAGTTTAGCAGACATATTAACATAGCTCATTTCTTAGAAAACTATCCGGCTGGGGACATTTAACCCAAGGTTTTAAACTATAAACCAAGGACTAAGGCAAGAACATTTTGAAGAGTCTTTTCTTGAAAGAACAATTTCCATTTTGACTTGGTCTCCTAGTTTCATTGCAGAGGATTTAGGGGTACATTTCATGGCTTACAGAGAGAACTGACCAGGTCTGTTAGAACTCAGACGATACTCTACGTCACACCCAACATCTCTTACAACTTCTTTGGCAATTGTGTCTGTCAAGATTGGCTTGAACAAAATCACAAATCTGCTAACAATCTCTTTACCTTCATGCTGATAAATAAAACATCAAAAATACTATCCTGCAAAAGTAACCACACAAATAACTAGCCTCCTACAGCAGTCAGCACTTCCCTGATATTATTCTATTTCATATACGTATTTTTATGTATAACTCAAGGTAGTGAACATATCTTTTACTCCTGCCTATTTACTCCAAAACAACCCTGTGAGAGGAGCTGATCTGAGTGATTGGCCTGAAATCACCTAGCAGGCTCTCATGGCTAAGGGAGGCCTTAAACTAACAGTCGCCTGGTTTCTAGGCCAGCACCTTTACCACTACAATGAAGTAGTCAGCATTTCCCTGGTAGCTACAAAAAGAAGAAGTCCAGTTCTCTATACCTACACACAGATGCCTATTCCTTGGCCAGACTTTTTGTAGAAGTCTCCTACCAAGACTACCAGTGCAGCATAGCAATCTGCTGTTTTCTGTCAGCCCTATGAATTTCATACTGAGTAGTGAGCTCCTTTTCTTCAAAAGCATACAAACCAAGTGGTTTCCCAGAGGAATGTCGGTGATCCAGTCCTCTCCACTAGCCCTTTCACTTGGAGGGACAAAATTTCATGTCACTTCTGGCTATCCTGCAGGTTACGAAATAAAAGCTTGTTTCTTACTGTCGTTTACTATGAGTATTTGAACTGAACTGGAACTATTAAAATGAGGGCTAGAAGATAATTCAGGAAAAAATAGAGAAGCAAGATCTCTTTCTGTCACATGACTCACTTGTGGCTCAGGGCTCTCAAATCAGCTGTCCATGAAGTGTAATGAAGAGGGGCATCAGTGTGGGTCTCCACAGCTCCTCGAGGTGGTTCACGCACCACAGTTATCAATAATATCAAAGCTAATGCTCCCAAACCTGGGGTCACCTGTGGGGAACATAATTTTAAAAATCCAGTTTGAAGCATTCTAAAAAGAGAAAAATATATGTGAAAGACTGCTATCTAACTTTGGGTAAAAAGAAGTTTCAGAATTAGATTTAAAAAGAGCTTTAACATAGATGTACAGCAACAAATATTGACTAAGGTAGCTATAAATTCTACTTACCCGCAAGGCCCAGTGCCAGTCATCAGCCACATCTTTCACTTTTGATCCTACAATATAGCCCAGTCCACTGTAGAAGAAAATCAGGAGAGCATTCAAATCTATACTCTGGCAGGTTTTCCAACTTCCACCAAAGCTAGTTAACACCTTATCAGCTGAAGTCACAATTAATCTTTCAAGATATGGATATGCAAGCTGTATAATGTAATGTTGGTTTTTCATTTTCAACAAAGATCTCTGGTTAAAAAACCCATCTTTTCACCCTCCCTCCAAATACAGAGCACAGGATGTTCCCACCTGCCTACAGGTATAGCAAAGTAGAAGATGCTAAGCATGCGGGATCTCTGGTCACCCAAGTACAGGTCAGCAATAATGGTGGGGGCAATAGTTGAATAGCTAGCCTCTCCCACACCCACTAGGCCTCGTGTAAGTAGCAACATCCAGAAGTACTGAAGAGGAGATAAAAAAAAGTATATGAACAATAGAGAAGCAGACACCCTCAAGTCTAGAACACCCTCAATAGGAACCTTGAAACTTTTGGTTGTGAGCTATGAGTTACTCTGTTCAGATTTCATTTAGTTGCTTATTGCTTATTTAAAACAAAAATTCCTTCAGCAATAAAATAGGAAAACTTAGAAAGATTTCTTGCTAACTTTGGGGAAATTGAGGTTTGATTAAAAGAGAGCAAGAAATACAACTACATGAAAACAGCAACAGCCAGAGGGTTAATACTCCTTTTATCATCTGCTATGACATTTCATGTATTTGACTGCATGGAATTCCTCACCACTAAGCCTATTAGAAAGGTTGCATCGCTTGAAAATGCAGAATTTCTGGAGAATGCAATATATATATTCAATTTCTCCATCCCTGTAATTTTAATTTACCAGGCGTCCCCTTTTCCATACCAGATAAATACCTGCTTGGGGGTGAAGCTGCTCCCTAGAGTCACAATAGACCAGAAGACGATTCCTATACACATCAGGTATTTGCGATTGTAACGATCACCCAGGTAACCAAAAATAGGCGCCAGTACCATGTAGCTGCTAATAAAAACTGTTAGGAAAGAAAAAATAGTTTTTTGTTTCACCTCTGTTCCATATGCACTAACTGTGTACAGTAAATGGTTACAGAGGGGACAGAAAAGACAACCAAGGCCTATTGTGCCAGTCCTCACCTGTCTGTAGCAGTCCTGATTTGCTATCATCAATATCAAAAAACCTCTCAATGTCAGGAAGAACACCTGAAACAAGGAAAAAGAAGCAGAGCTTCAGATGAGGAGATAAACATAGTATTTTCATCCATTTCATCCATCACCTAACCCAGCGGTTCTCAACCTGTGGGTCGCGACCCCTTTGGGGGTCGAATGACTGTTTCACAGGGGTCGCCAAAGACCAGGGCTTTTTTTCTCATAGAACGCTCAGAACGGCGTTCCGGCATCTTTTTTTGATGGATTTTTTCAACTTTTCCATGAGCTGTGCTACTCCCTCTATTCTATTGGCTTTCGAAAGCCAATAGAATAGACTCTATTTGAATAGACTCTTAATCTATTGGCTTTCGAACGCCAATAGAATAGACTCTATTTGAATAGACTCTTAATCTATTGGCTTTCGAACGCCAATAGAATAGACTCTATTCTATTGACTTTCGAAAGCCAATAGGAATTGTCCACACCTGGCCGTTAACGGCTGTCTCTGCACTGCTGAGCCCGCCAAAAGTCCCAGCCGGCAAACGTTGCTGCAAGTTGTCTGCAGCAAAGGCGAGTTTGCAGGAACTTTCCACCCCTCCCTGCTGAGCAACTATGGTACGCCATCTTCTACTACTTGTAAGTAAAAGAGGACCAGGGGTGGGAGGTGGGGAGCAGCACTTAACTCTGCCCTGCCGAAAAAGCGGAGTCCATGTGCACTCCTGCCTCGTGCTCACCTCGTGCGCCATCGGTGTGGTGTGCGGGTGGAGCTGCGGGGCCCGCTTGACACAGCGGGGCTGCGCGGGACAGCCGGCAGCGGAGGTGGTGCTGGCGGGGCAGCGGCGGGCGCTGGGTGCGAAGGTGGCGCGCGGCGGATGGCTGACCTTCCTTGGGCCGGGTCAGCTGGTGGCCTAGCCGGTGCTGGACCTGCGCCGCCGCTGCCTCATCCTGTGCCTACATGGCCACCCTGGAGCGCCTGGCCCGCAACGCCTGCTGCCGCCTGGGCCTGCCTGCTGTCCGCACCCTCCCGCCGCCCCACACTAGCGTCTTGCTTGGCGACTGCAAGCTCTGCGCCATCGGTGTGCATTGCGGCTGCTGCTGTGGGAGCCACGGGGCTGCGCGGGACAGGCGGTGGCGGAGGTGGTGCTGGCGGGCCAGCGGCGGGCGCTGGGTGTGAAGGTGGCGCGCGTGGGGCGTGGCAGATGGCTGAACTTCCTTGAGCCGGGCCAGCTGGTGGCCTAGCCGGTGTTGGACCTGCGCCGCCGCTGCCTCATCCTGTGCCTACATGGCCGCCCTGGAGCACCTGGCCCGCAACGCCTGCTGCCTGGACCTGCCTGCCGTCCGCACCCTCCCGCCACCCCCCCACTGGCGTCTGGCTTGGCGACTGCGAGTGCTGCGTCATTGGTGTGGTGTGTGGGTGGCGCTGTGGGAGCCGCAGGGCCCGCTCTACACGGCGGGGCTGGGCGGGGTGGGCGGCGGGGCGGCTGCAGGCGGGGGTATGGGGGCGGGGGCGGCTGCACTAGCTGCTCAGGCTCTGGGGGGGCAGCCCGCCACTGATGCCCCCCCATGCCTCTGACCGCAGCAGACAAAAAAGCTCCCAAAGTCGACCGGTGAGAGGCGAAACGATTGGGAAGCAGCCTGGAAAAGCCGAACACACTGCTTTCTCTGAGAGCGGCCGCTTCTCAGGCCTCCCCCAGTACGGAGTTCCCGCCTAACTCCGGCTGCAAATGAGAAAGGTCTTCGTCAGGTTGGTCCCTTGTATTTATCCTGTACCCTCAAGGAGGTGGCTGAATGGATTGGCGACTTGGGCTTTCCTCAGTACAAGTTAAGATCAAGTTTCCTTGCAAGCAGAAGGGGAGGATATTCTATATAAGTTCACACATCATATTATTAGGCCATAGTTTCCTGAGTATGCCCCAAACTGACTTATTTAAGACATACACTGTGTCATAAATGTTGCTTTGCAATGGCTGGATTCAAACATCACTTTAAGCATGCATTTTGGGTTATACATTGCTGGCTGTGGAATTCTGGGAGTTGAAGTCCACATGCCTTAAAATTGTCAAGGTTGAGAAACACTGGGTTATAGTAACAGGTATGTAAAAAAAACAACACAGAGAATGGTAAATCATAGGAAACTTTAATGAACTGTATTGACTGAACTATGCCATGTATCATCTTTTGTATTATTAAAGCTATTGTTATATATTATTTTCATTAGCAAACCATCCCACGACAATGGATCGTGTAGAGAAGAACATTAAGAAAAGAAAATATAGTGAGGATTTTTTACAGTATGGTTTTACCTCAATAATTACAGCAGGAATTGAGAAACCGCAATGTGTCATTTGTTGTGAAGTTCTATCAGCCGAATCTATGAAGCTGAACAAACTAAAACGCCATTTTGAGAGCAAGCATCCGAGCTTTGCTGGCAAGGATACCAACTATTTTAGATGCAAAGCTGATGGACTCAAGAAAGCCAGACTTGACACTGGTGGCAAGTACCACAAACAAAATGTAGCAGCCGTTGAAGCTTCATATTTGGTGGCACTCAAAATCGCCAGAGCTATGAAACCTCACACCATTGCTGAGGAGTTACTGTTGCCAGCGGCCAAAGACATTGTTCGAGTTATGATCGGAGACGAATTTGTGATGAAATTGAGTGCAATTTCCTTATCTAACAACACTGTCCGCAGAAGAATAGATGACATGTCTGCTGATATTCTTGATCAGGTAATCCAAGAAATTAAATCTGCTCCACTTCCAATATTTAGTATCCAGCTTGATGAATCTACAGACGTTGCAAACTGTTCACAGTTACTGGTTTACGTGAGGTATATTAATGATGGCGACTTTAAAGATGAGTTTCTTTTTTGCAAACC